TAAGGGTGAATGAACACAAGGGAGAGAACCAATCTCACTTTAAAAACAAGCATGAGGAAACAGCAGGGACTGCCCAAGGAGACACTGATTGCCAGGAGGATCCATCCACATCTCCACCGTTTCTCTCTGGTTAAGCAAGGGTAGAGGCAGGAGGAAGGCTGGCAATGCAAAGACATCTTTATCACAGACTTTCTCCATGTGTAAGTGGGAAAGGTCTTTCTGGGGCTACAGTAGGTACATAATAAACCACAGTAATCTAATAAGTAAAACTGCTAATGAGAAAAGCAAGACAAATTTCAAAATTGAAATAAAAGAAATGAAAAAAGTATAAAAAATAACTTTTAAAAACTTAAATCATACATTTAAATAAGTTTTAAAAAATCTGTGAGTTCCAGTCAAGATGGTGGAGTGGCAGGACCATGAGCTTGCCTCTCCTTGCGACCACAACGATACCACAACCGAATGTTAAACCACCATCGAAAAAAGACTGGAACCTAGCAAAAAAAGATCTTCTGCCACTGGAAACAAAGAGGGAACCACAGCAGGATGGCAGGAGGGGCACGCTCGCAATATCACTGGGCCCCATACCCCCACAGTGGGCAACCCACAAGCTGAAGATTTGTTAAGTCACAACGGCCCTCCCACAGGAGTGAGAGCTGTAAGCCCACGTCAGCCTCCCCAGCTAGGGTCCTGGCATTGGGAAGAAAAGGAGCCCCCAGGACATCTGGTTTTGAAGGCCATGGGGGCTTGGCTCCAGGAGCCCCATGGGACTGGGGAAAACGGAGACTCCATTTGCTTGAGAAACGTACATGGAAACACATGCACCAGGTCCAAGGGCAGAGGCAGCGATTTCATAGGAACCTGGGCCAGACCTGCCTGCTGGATTTGGAGGGTCTCCTGCGGACGTAGCGGGCGGCTGTGGCTCACTCAGGGCACATAAAAGCTGGTGACGGACATTCCAGGAGTGTTAATCTACATGAGCTTTCCTGGAGGCTGACATCTTGATTGGATCATTAAGCACCAAGACCTAGCCCCACCCAACAGCCTGTAGGGAAGCCTTAGGCCAAACAACATACAGGGTGGGAGCACAGCCACACCCATCAGCAGACTTCCTAAGCCACAAAGGCCTCTAGACACAGCCCTACCCACCAGAGGTCCAGGACCAAGCTTCACCCAGCAGTGGGCAGGCACTGGCTCCTCCTGCCAAGAAACCTGCATAAGCCTCTAGTCCAGCCTCAACCACCAGGGGCAGATACAGGACATAAGAAAACAATAATCCCAAAGCCTACAGGAAGAATCCACAAACACACAGAAAGACAGACGATATAAGGCAGCAAAGGAGTATTTCCCAGGACAAGACACAAGATAAAATCCCAGAAGAAGAAATAAGTGATAAGGAGATAGGTAATTCATCTGAGAAAGAGTTTAAAGTAATGATGGCCAAGATGTTCAGAGAACTCAAGAGGAGTACAGATGCACAGAGTGAAGTTTTTAGCAAAGAGTTGGAAAATATAAAGAATACCCAAACAGAGTTGAATAAAATCACTAAATGAACAATACACTAGAAGGAACCAAGAGTAGACTAAATGAGGCAGAAGAACAGCTAGGTGAGCTAGGAGACAGATTAATGGAAATCACTACTTCAGAACAGAAAAAAGAGAAAAGAATAAAAAGAACTGGGGATAGTTTAAGAGAACACTGGGACAACATGAAGTGCTATAATACTCGCATTATATGGGTCCCAGAAAGAGAAGAGAGAGAGAAAGGACCTGAGAAAATATTCAAAGAGATAATAACCGAAAACTTCCCCACCTTGGGAAAGGAAACAGTCACCCAAGTCCAGGAAGCACAGAGAGGTCCACACGGGATGAACCCAAAGAGGAACACACCAAGGCACATGTCATCAAATTGACAACAATTAAGGATAAGGAGACAATATTAAAATTAGCAAGAGAAAAGCAACGAGTAACATACAGGGGAGCTCCCTAAGGTTATCAGCTGATTTTTCAGCAGAAACTCTACAGACCAGGAGGGAGTGGCACGATATATTTAAATTGATGCAAGGGGGAAACTTACAACCAAGAATACTCTTTCCAGCAAGGCTCTTGTTCAGACTTGATGGAGAAATCAAAAGCTTCACAGATAAACAAAAGCTAAAAGATTTCAGCACCACCAAACCAGCTTTACAGCAAATGTTAAAGGACCTTCTCTAGTCATCAAACCATAAGAAAAGAGAACAAAAAGAACAAAAAGAACAAAGAGGGAAAAAAATGAGAGACCTACAAACGATTGCTTTGGCTCTTTGGGGTCTTTTGTGATTCCTTATAAATTTTGGAATTGTTTGTTCTAGTTCTGTGAGGAATGTCATGAGCATTTTGATGGGGGTTGTGTTGGATCTGT